GCTCGTACACTTAATTGCGATGTAATGTTGACTTGAATCGTGTAAATCTACAATTTCTCACGCCGCATCGCAAGATTTTGCGGTATCATCGTGCAATCCTGTGGTATTACGTCACTGTCCAGCATATTTGATGTTCGGTTATCACCCGAACTGTATAAGGCAGAAAGCACGAAACCCAGTTGATTCGCAGTTTTTGCTACATATTATAGTAAATCGCATTACAGTTATTCACATAGGATTCTGTGTTACGAATCTATATCGCGTCGATTTGTAGGTCATCATCATCATCATCAGCCCTTTTACGTCCCCACTGCAGGGGCTCAGGCCTTCCTTATGGATGGTTAAGGAGGATGGGCCATGACCCTCCACGCTGGCCCAATGCGGATTGGAGGGTAGATTGATTTGTAGGTACTATGATTTAATCAGTGTAGACGTACTGTAATAAAGGTTTTTACATAGTTTTACCTTTTCTATAAAACAGGTTTATAGTAATTAATAGTGATCTATTTATATTGGAGGAAGATATTAAAAGACGTAAATTAGATATAGATTTACTGTTACGTTAATTTAGTAAAGTAATTGCTTTTCAAACTGCTTAGCACGTTATGCATTTCATTGGAAATTAGAGCTCAATTTATCGATGTTATAATTACACCTTTGATCAAATGTTGATCAAAGTAGATCCAATCTACATTCAACAAATTTACGTTAGCAGTTAATTGCAACATTTACTTAGGCGTACCTAAAAGGGGATCAAAAAGAAAACTATATTACCACATCGTTAATATCTTTTAGCACTGGCACTAAAAACACAAAACTTAAAATAGTAGATATTATATAAATTAATTCGCATCGCATAGGTTAAAAAACCTAAATTAAGTACATTAGGGGCAGTGACAGAAATTTTGAGAAGATTGGATTTGGTATGGATGTATATGTGATGAAAAGAAATTATTTGCATGTAATAAAAAGGGTTATGAACATGAACGTAGAAGGAAATAATGTAAAGAGAAGAAGACTGAAGGAAAAATGAATAATCTGAATAGTAGAATGTGTGGAAGAAGAATACATTTTGGGTATACCTACACATAAATAATTGGGAAGAGTGCAAGCAAAATATGTTTATTTTTTAATTTTTACTTTTTTTTCTATTTAGAACTGACATTGTAATACTCGTATAGACTTACGGTCAGTTGCACAAACGTCCATTAAGGTTTAATAATGCCTATAACCTCTAATGAATACTGGTAAGTGCAACTGGTTGTTAAACTACCACCTAACGTTCTTATTTTTTTATAATATATGACGTCAACGTTAAATTGGTAACATTACCTACCTATATATTAATTTTATTTGAAAATGTATTAGATCTACTATTAATAATACATACCCGTCGAACATACACATCATTTTCTGTTTTGAAATCGGTTATTAATAGGAATTCGTGCAAATAATTTAACTATGAGTTATTGATTTATAACAAATTATATTTCGTCAATGAAATCCTAAATACATTTGTCTATAGAATAGATTTTACAATTGGTACTAAACGGACGTGAGCAGCCGTAGTTGTCACAATTGCGACCAATAACCACATCCTAATTTTCTCGCTTCCGCAGCTGTACGACGACTGCGTTCTAGTTGTGTTTAATTCACTAATGTCTATAAAAAGCAATTCGTTTAAAACTTGTGGCATTTTACTATTATATCTTGACCATTTTCTACAACCACGGTGGTTTATTTTGAACATGAGACGATATTAAGCTGATATAGGCCCGTTATGGTCTTTAAAATTCCCCAAATGATCCTATCCATTTCATTTAATAGGGCACTATGATTTCATTAAATTTTAAACTCCGCATAATGTTCATGAAAAGGATGAAAGTTGTCCCTGTACCCCTAAAGCGTGTAACACCCGCACCACCTCGGTTTTTCATTGGCAACGAACCAGGGGATGAGGGTCTGTGTAAGATTTCGTTCGCAATTTAATTTTGTTCTCGACGGGCATTTTGGACGTAAAATAAGGGGAGCGTAACGCGGTAAAAGTTGCTCCTTCGCTGAGTTAATGGGACGCCGACAAAAATTGGAATTCAATACTCGCATAACATCGCTAAAATAAATATGAAACGTTATATCTGAAGGTTCGATATGTTTTGACGAGTTAACATGTTTGCCACATGGGCTTTATAGACAGGCAAAATAGGTAACGTTCAGTGATAACTTTGTGATTATTGGGAAATATGTTAATATTGTTAGAAAAATGACAAGGTTTCGTGTTTTGGCAGTAGCACGCCGCCGTCCGCTTCAATATTTCGATTCGCAGCCCAGAAACGTCAAAGTAATAGTATTTATCGCGACAGAATTAAACAGAAAACAAGACGGCGCCCGCGGCTATTTATTTCCAATTCTTATTGTTTCATTGACGTAGATGTGACATTATTGCGGTTTTGTTACTATGTAAATTTTGTCAGTTAGGTTTTTCATCGCCGTTTGTGGGAGTAGTTAGGTATTATCGAGTTAGAAATAGCAGTTTCAATAATAAATAAGAAGAACGAATCAAATTTCTATAATACTATACATTATACATCTACTTATATTAAAAACACGAGGGACATTGACACCATAATGGTCCTCTTTCATCGTTCGCTTTAATGAGAACTGTATTTTAGTTAATTGCGATTTATAATGTAAGCCATGAATTTCAGTTTACAGAAAGTATTCGCTACCAACCACTAGTCCTTTGAACGTGCTAGAGTTCTATTTTTGAATTATTCGATTCACGTCGAGCGTTTGTTTACTACTAATTTACATTCGAAATAAAAATACACACTATTTTTGGTATGTCTCACAACAACCACTAGCCGCTGGGCTAACAGTCTAAGCGAGATATAGAGTAAATGTCAAAGTCAAATATGCATTTTTGTACCATGACTTCTTTCAATTTTACGTTGATATTCTGCTAATCTTTGAGGTTGTCATATAATAAAAGAGACAAGAAACCTGTGTGATAACTCGGAACAATTCCTTAATATCATTCTGTTTAGTTCAGCAATTCTTCCTTTTCGGTGTATAAAGCTATAACAAACTTTTCAACATTTAAATTATGTACAGTTTTCACTGGGAAAATTTGTCGATTTTACATTTCAAATAAATTTCAATATTTATTATGTGAACATTGACATGACCAGTGTTAAAAAATGTACAAACAAACAAAGAGGACGATACGTTTTAAACGAGTGTGTCAAAAATAGAGCTGCTTAACACAAAATGCCCGCATGAATAGCAAAAATACAGAAATTAACCAATTCATTCTTTATTGATAGGATAACAGAATAGTCGAAGAGAACGTGACAAAATGCGCAAAAGCTTTCTAAAGCTTGATATTTCAGTATGATAAAGTACTAAGGGTATATATGTATGAATACCCATTACACTTATTACGCTGTGCGGAGGTCAAGTACTGGAACATCTGGTGGCAACGGGACAAAGGACGAAAAATCGTACTATTTAAGGAAAACTTCTTAATGTAAAAAAGTAATCTAAAATCGTGAAAAGCATTGACTCAGTAGATGTTAGAAGTTTGTGTCAAAGCGTGTTCCGAAAAAGAATCATAATGGTGGAAAGTTAATTTATTGCTAAATTGATAGTAGTTGGTTCACAAGAAAATACAACAAATATGGATACTGAGGATGTACTTAACATAGTGAAATATCAAGCTTTAGAAAGCTCTTGCATATTTTTATCACAAGCTCTCTGTTTAAGAAGTGTATACACTGAATCTAACTCAACTACCTACAACACTCATCTCGGATAGATATTTAACGTATTTAATTAAGCTTACTGTATATTTAACGTAAACCCTGTATGTTTTCCAGCACATGGTGGGAACGGGCATGGCGAATCCGTTCCCTGCGGCGGCGGCGGCTGCGGCTGCAGCAGCACAATTTGCAGCAAACGGCGAAGCGCTCGCGGCCGTGAAAGCGGAGGGCGGGCCCACGGCGCCCCCTCAGCCCCCGCTGGTCAAAAACGAGGGCCCACCCCCGCCTGCGCCGCTCCCGCCAGCTAACTTCTCACCACAACCACCGCCACAGCCACACGCACCAAACTCCATAGAAAACCAAAATAGTAGCTCAGTAAGTTTTTTATTGACATCAACACCACCCTTTTAATGCTTTACTGCTGGAGCTCATGCCTTCCCTATGAATGAAAACGAATCGAACAGCAAGAATGGCAGGTCTAGCCAACCAGCAAACAGTATGCAGAGTAGCTGGAACCAACGGCATACCTACCTTCCGAAGCATGGAAAAGCTCGAGATAATAAATTTTTAGTCACCCATCATAATAGCGGCCCTTGTAAAAGTTTCTTGACAATCCCGTATCGCAGACCGAACTTGCAACCACTTCGCTATCGAACTATAATATTCACCAAATTCATTACGTTATCATATCATCTGAAAAGCTGATTAATAAGAAAAGGAAATAGGAACTTGATCTTAATGAATAATAATTTGAAATTTCGTTAACTCCCCTATCATAAAAAGATACTAAACTGCAATACCAAAACGAAGATAACTCGGTAATAGAAATCTGAAACAATGAGGTCTGTGCGTAAACCAATTTATCCATTTTATTTCATCCAACAGTCTTTCTGTATGGAAATCAAAATCAGATAGAATCTTGTTAGATAGTAAGAAGTAAAACTAAAATATTTTTTGTTTCAAGAACGAAACAGATATTTGATATATAATTCACTGTAACACGTAAGATAGCACAACATCGAACATTGGTATATGGGTTAGATATTAAATATTTCTGCCTGAGAGTCTATTCTCCATTCGCAAGAAGATCTTGAAGAATCTTATTAAACAAGTTGCGGGTTTTTATGGATCAACGTAGTTATTTTCTCTGTATCCCTTTACTTACTGGGGATAAGCTACTTACTGGCTTTATATTTACGTGGGGGATAAAGTTCTTAGTATACTGATGTGCTAAATATATCAATGATAGAAGAGGCAACTCGTACCAAAACAGTCTTATGCATTGTATTCAAGGTAGATAGAATTTATTGTGACTGAAAAAAAAAATCGGTTTGTTAAATTACTCTAATAAATCATTTGCAAACACACTGCGCACAATTGTCAAATAATACCCGTCGCTCTCTTGGCTATCAATCAAGAGATACCAATATTTTGGGCTTCAAATATAAAGATAATGGTTGTAGAAGTGAACATTAAAATGATTTATGTTGTATATTGGTTCACATAGCTTGCGGTTGGGTATCCACAGCAAAGCGAGGGGGAATCGAACGAAGAAAGCACACCGGTGAGCGTTTCTGCGGCGGTTGCGGCACAGCAAGCCGCTGCTGTTGTGGCACAGCAGGCTGCTGCGGCACACGCGGCAGCCGCTGCCGTCAGCGCGGCCGTTGCCGCCGGCGCCAACGGCACAGCCGAGAAGTCTCTCGTGCCCGTATCACAAGCGTCACAACCTAAGCGGTTACACGTCTCCAATATACCCTTCCGATTTAGAGATCCCGATCTCAGAAACATGTTTGGGGTACGTATGCGCTTATTTTACACATTACACGCACGGCATGTACGAATCGATGTTGTTTTTAGACAATTAGCCGGATCCGAATTTATATTTTGACATTTTATATTTCAGCAATATGGCACAATACTTGATGTAGAAATTATCTTCAACGAACGAGGCTCGAAGGTAAGCGATATCGCTATCTCGTTTTCTATTTATTAAGTGGCTCCCTGAAATCCTGTTGCTGATTTCATTGTGGCTACTTTTATATCACTTTGTTATTAAGTAAATAAATACGTAATTTTTAACGAAGTAAGATATTTATTCCAGAAAAAAAATATTTGATATATAAAAATCTTAATCAATTAATTGAATGTACTCGTGGTGTACCGATAATTCTGAATATATTACTTCGTTCTATATAAGTAAATCTACTTATTGTATGGAAATAATTTGAGTACTTTGTAAAATTGCCAAAGATAATAATTTGATTTATTGATTATGTTGGGTTCGAAAATAAGAGCAATGAAAATTATTTCCTATGATTTCTTTTATTATGACCTCAATAGCTATTGCTGCATTATAATAAAACTAATTTCATTTTTTTTTCATTATTAATTTTTATTCATGGTACTTAATATTACCTTACTAGTGTTATGCAATAGCTAAGAAGTCAAACTTATGATAATATCAGTAACTGCTGCCCAAACTATACAGTTCAGTTCCCATTATCGCATACTTGAAAATTCTGTTTCTTTTGTCATGTTTTTTTTTTATTAAACTCATTGTCTTGCCTAACAAGTCTTAAGGCAAAGGGCTTAGTTACAATAATAAATTAATAATCGTTAATTCAACTTTCTTTTCTCATAGCGTATTCTTGGTATTAATGTTTGGTGCAGTATCCCTAATTGCATTGTATATTTACCATTGAATAATAAATAATTAAGTCTATTATTCTGATCTAAAAATCTCTCCAATACCCATGACATACTTTTATGATCCTTGTTGTCACATTAAAATTAAAGTTAATTAAGCTTGATTGGCAAAAAAGTAAGTCATCGGTGCAATCTGTTAATAGCAACATTAATAAACATAAAATCTCAAAAAACAACTCACCGTGAATTACACTTTCCCATGAAATTGTGAAAAAAAAGACAGAGATATTATCGAACCACTCTTTTATAATTGATTGGATTGAACGCTTTTTCGTGTTACTGCTTTCCTTGTGTCAGTTTGGTGACCGCCCCTGAAGTAGTCCATGCTCGCTCATGTCAACAAAATATTTTTACTATTTTGGAATAATAGCTCCAAATTATTTTTTCTTCAATGCCTCACATTGGGATATGCAGTATTAGAGAATGATGCATCGTCACTATAACAGCTGATTTCCTAAGTCATATTTCAGGACAGCTCTATTATTCATAACTAATACATAATATTTTTGTAATCGTCCAAACTACTCGACGCACTCCTGTGATATTTGAAATTTTTGAACGCGACTGCAGTATGTGACTGCATAATTTTTAATATAATATTAAAATTACGTGTGTGTAGTTTGGATGACGAGTCATTCTGAACTATTTGATTATTAATTAGTTAGCCTCTTAATCGACCTCGGTATTTCTGTCCACTTTATAATTAATTTTTAAAGTTTGTTCAGTCATACGCTTCCTAACAAGGGAATTGTTAATTATATAATTTACATTAGTTTTGAGCATGTATATTTCGCTGACCTAAACAATGTGTTAATAAGTTTAAAATTTGTTATCTAGAAGTAACTGGTGCATCATTTAGTTTGGCTTTACCTCGTTTGTCACACGTGTCTTCCTCGTCGGCTAGAGATCAGTGTCAGTCATCGACAGAGGGCGCTCGGCGTAGCTCTCGGCTGGGTGATTATCGCCCTGCCGCGAACACGCGCCGAGTTGCCATTTTTATTATTACTCTCTCTTGAACTCTCTCTCTCTTCTCTTTCTCTCTGCCCAGATCATTGTTTATCTAATAAAATACATGCACTCAGAATGGTAATAATAGAGCTGTCATTTGCTTTTATAAGTGTAAGCGTTTCGTACAATCAGCGACTTGTTTGCCACTTTCACGACTCGTCTCTTCCACTATAATGTGTGCTGTGCTAGCTGCTTTTTGTATCTATGGGTTATCACCATGTATTGACAGTAGTTTAATTTGTCTTAGCACGTCCGATTGGAATAAATGATTTTTTTAATGAAATTATTATCATGTGTTTTGATTTGAATGCAGTTTTACGTCCATTAAAATACTGACTATTAATTTTAACTCACACGATTAATCATGATAAATATATGGCGTACTCGGAGATATTGAATCTGTATTACATTTTTTTTAGAATTTGGCACTGTACAGTATATGCACATGTTTAATTATTAAAGTATTCAGTAGGCTACCCGTTAGTGTGTCAATGAGTCTAGTACGTACTTTGTATATGTATTAGGCTGATGGTTGTTGAATGGCAAACCTTAGTTATTTAAAAGTTGTCAGTTGACATTGTCATACTTTGTAACGTGAAGTCTGTGTTCTTCCTCCATGTAACACATGCCTACTCCAAACTTCTCGACAAATAAGTTTGTTTCTCCAACTAGTCTCATTAGTGACTTGATGCATGAAGGTGATTTTTCTGTATAGAACAAATTGCAGCTAACATCCCACACAATATTAATTTGTCATTTCGATTCAAGTAGAGTCTATCGAATGTGATTCGATGAGAGTTCTCAATCCTGGTATACACAGCGATACGAACTTTTCAACTACATAAATAGTACAGACTACAAGGTCGAGCGACAATTGTATTAATTTATTGTAATCCAAACGCTTATGTGTACCCATTCAGCTAGAAATACGCTCAAAGTTTCAACGTAATAGAATCAATAATATCCTCTCAATATTTTTCACTAGAATATTTTTTAAATAAAGAATATGCAATGCATAAATGTTAATTTTTGTTGCACGTTGTTTTTTGAGCGACGCTGTTTTTAATGCATGTTTTGTCTGTCTTGCATGCAGGGATTCGGTTTTGTAACATTCGCAAATAGTGGTGATGCGGAGCGAGCACGAGAGCGTCTTCACGGCACCGTGGTTGAGGGCAGAAAGATAGAGGTGTGCATGACTCAATGAATACCATCCGTAGCACTATGTAACTTATAACATCCCGCTCCTACCGCCCACGCCCACCGCAACCTGCGCTCGTCTGCTCTGTAGTTACTGTCATGCTAGCGTGCTGCCCGCGGCCGCCGCGTTAGCACTAAGTATGCCGACGATATTAATCCACAAACAAACCTTATTTATTTTATCCCTTTACTCTCTAGACGGTCATTTAATATGCCGATCGAATGAGAGAGTCTCACAGAGAAATGTAGAAAGAACCGTTGCGTCACATTGCCGCTGAGGTAAGATTGCAAATGCAATTTTTTAGTTCCGTTACCACCTATCTATTTTATCCTGAATTAATCTTGAGTTTCCACTAACAGTAAAATTGAAACGATTCTTTTATATGAGCCTTTTCAATGCAGACTTCCGTAAATACAACATCCCCAGAAAGACGTGTTAATCTCATTTTATCCTACCCCGTTTGTTTTTTTAAGTGTCAAATGTCTCGTATATAATTTGTTTAACTTAATTTTAGCTTATTTAATTTATAAAATACTAAAAGAGACATCTGACACGACCTTGACTGACTTTACAACGTCATATCTTTCATACTAATATGATTTTACTATATTAATTTAATTTATAGAGATAAATAATAAATTATATGCGAGTTCGAATCTCACATGCAGAAGCCACTGCAAAATAACATAAGAAAGTTTTGATTGGCATTACATTGTATTGTTTCATTTTGCTTTAGTCAATTATAAATTATTATTTTAAAGTCAGTCAAAAATATTATTTTAAGCAAAGATTAAAGTTCTATTTTTGACATGACAATTACTTCCGAATCAGGTTAATAATGCAACAGCGAGAGTGCAAACCAAGAAACCACCGACAGTTCCCAATGGTAAGTTGACGATTAGAACATGTCCAACATATTAAATATTAATAAAAATGTTTAACATAAAAATTCCCTACACACATAAAATTACAGTCTATAATCACAGTAGAAGTCCGCTATGTACACAAATATTGATACCTAACACCAATGACAATGTAAATGATAATGCATCTTGCATTTTTTTTTCTTTTTAACCCACCCAGTTGTACTGGCTAGAAATGGATCAGTTCCAACTTTGGGTGAGAGTGCTGGATTTATAAAGTGATATGTGTTGTTCACGTCGATGTAACCTTACGTATCGGCTAGATCCGTTGTCTGAATGCAACTAGGTGAATGCTATTTAGAGAATGAGTCCACTGTCAACAACAAGCCGGAGACAGTGTGCGCCTGGGCACGTGACCAATCTACGCCATTACGCGATGCACTCGATATCACATTACCTACACTAATAGCTCCACAACTTCTGACACTCATAACTACCAATTTCCTAATATATTTTTCCAAATTTCGCAATATTTAAATTACATGTACGAAGTCTCCAATCGATAATAAGAAATTCGCTCATTTGGAGATGGCCAAATATCCGGAATTTTTCGCAACACTAAATTCGCTGATAGTCGATCTCTCGTTTAGTAAGGTCGACGTAGTTAACATGACATGTTCGGCGCCACTGTCTACCTGGTGACCACTCACTGCCTAAACGGATGTCACCAACTATTAGAAGGCTTTGGTAGTACAAAGTATTTACACCTTCTTTGAGCTGTACAACAGATGTTTGTTATCTCTTGACGAATGCTGGAATGAATTTGTAACTTCGATATTGCACTCAAATTCAATTCTGTAGTTGAGAATGTCTGTTAGGTATTGTTTAATTTATTTTGGTTAGCATTTTTAGATCTGTATGTGTTTAAAGATTTCCGAATTTGATTTGCTTTCTTTTATCTTGTTACAGTGTGCGTCCAATGGCCAGAAGGTAAGGCAACGAGTACATCGACTTTGTATAAAATTATATATTTAAAAACAGAAATGCTTACGCATTTACATACATTACTATAACATCCATACGAGCATGATTTTCTTTATTTAATGTGGTGGGATTATGCGGTTGTTTAGATATTTATATACTGCTCGATGAGATCGCAATTGAATTTAAAGCATTTGTAAATTTTCCTTAACGGCCATGCTTCTTTAGAGCAGACAATATTATTAATAAATATGTAGTCTTGTTTGTATATTTTAATACATATTTGAACTTGTAAAATATGTATGTAAGCAAGCGGCATGGCCGTTCTCTTCCATTTATCTTTAATTGTGAATAATATTGGTCAATTTTAGCATCGTTATATGGAACGCATTCTAGTGCATAGTGATAGTAACATAGTAATCGTTTAATCGTGATTAACGGACGAGTGGTCCCGCACTCGCTTTTGTACTAAAACGCAAGCGGAACGCACCGCGCAGGTACTGGAAACAGAAGTACACATTACGCCACAGAAGGCGTTGAGGCTGAAGCTTTTAAAACAGCCTAGTTGTTAAAAGAATGACACGTACTTTCTGATTCGTTGATTGAGTGCTGAGAATGTACGACACGCATTTAGAGTACGAGTCTTATAAGACTCGTACGTAGCCTCGGTCCGCGTCCCCCGCCACCCGCACGCCCTCTAACTACTACAGTACATTAGATATACAAGTTTTTGGGACTCGTAGTAGTAAAGTCACGTGCACACTGCGTTAAAAAGTAGTATTACGTTGATTTATTGTTATTAAGATATTAAAAGATAGCAAGGTTGTTATAAAATTGTTTATAGACACCGCGAAATGAATATTCAATTCATTAGAGTCCATAAAGATGGATATCGCAATAAAAACGCGACCATTATTGTAAGCTTCAAATTATAATTCAATATTTTGACACTAACGGTCTCTTCTTCAAGAGATGCATCGAACAGAGAGATATAGTTAAAAAAAACACCCAATTCTTTGAGAATGAGGCCTGATTGCATCATACAATAACAAAAAAATATGTAAATTAAAATTAATAATATTAGTTCCGTGGTATGATGTCTATGGAAACGGACTCGTTAGAACCTTCGCCACTGATAGATAGATTAGATTCTCGGTACAGAATCCAAACTTGAGTAACTAGTAACTATAGACAGTACGAAACCTATAGTCTACAATCGCGTCCGAAACATCGTCGAGTATTTGACGCGCGGTGTGCACGCGGCGGTAAGTGTCTCGCGTTGAGGCGGCCGGTGGATGTTGTGCAGGGCTGCGGGTGTCCGGCGTGACGTGGCCGTGGCTCGGTGCGGCGCCGGCGGCCGCGCCCGCGCCCCCCCTCGTGCTGGCGCCGCGCGCCGCCCAACGACGCAGGTACCCGCATGTTAGTGTTGTGTGTTGCATGTAGCGAGCCTGCGCGCCCGCCCCGCCCGACCACCGCCGACCCCCACTCACTCCCCGCTCGCGCACGCGGCCGCTCACCTGCTGCCCCGCGCACACTACCACGCACAGTTGCACGCGTACGCACCGTGAGTAATAACATCACCGACCCCCCCCCACCCCCACGCCCCGTACAAAACTATCATCACTTCGCTCCGCTGATCCACGCTTCCTACCCTGTAGTCCGTTTTAGCTAACACTAAACCTTCTGTGGCTCAGTAAGGCAACCAAGTGCAGCCCTTAGTGGCAGAGCGGCGGCCACGAGTCTCTTGGCTACCTTTGACTTAATTCGATTCATAGTGAAATTTGTATTTTACTGAATTGGAGCATTCATAATAAGTAATTTGATAATCGAGCTTCTGTACGTCAGTTTATTTCGGTAAGGGTCTGTCTGTCTGAAGGAAAATCCGCACCTATATGATACGACGTTTATTCAACCTTAGACAATCAACTGGTGATCTTCAGTCATTCCGTGAATCTCATACCTCCGCTGATACACTAGACGGGTATTCCGTAAGATGTGTACCGATTCCGATCCGAGTATTTAACTGAAAAAAAACAAATAAAAATATTATTTTGAACTCAAATGACATGACACTGTTTTACATATGGGACGGAGATGGATTCATATTTTTTTTTTGTAATTCAGATATGATATCATGAACTTTATCGTGCTCTGTTCTACTCCAAGTCATTGAAAATATGCAAATTAGCGTAGGATAAGTATACGACAAATCAGATCACGATATCTCGAATGTGAAATACGGGCTTGACATCATACTGTTTTATTAGATATCCCACAATATAAGAAGAAATATTTTCGTCATTCGTGTAAATTAATCAATTTACTTTTTTATAAAATGTTTCAGTAAACTTTCTAAAAACTATAACGTATCCAGAATATAGTTGGTTAGAATAATTAATTAGCCCGAAATGAGCAGACTTCGGCGATTTAAATATAGATTCTGATTTTGTGCGTAGTGCCAAATATCATGAAATATAAACTAATCAATTTATCAACATACTGGGTCATTGATTAGAAGCCAAAGTCAATATATTAGAAATATCGTAGGCGAACAAGAAAATTGAAATGAATCCGACTGACGTAAATTTTATCTATATTATAAGAGTGAAATTTATTGTATATTAAAAAAACTTAATAAATTTGATCGTCAATACAGGCACGGCAACTACTATCCCTATGCTCCTAAGTAGCCCTACACCCTCTCCTACCCTTACAATCACATGGTATGAGTTTTAATTTTTCTTTAATATAAATTAACTTAGCACACTGTAATTAGATTGAAAATGGCACTCAAATAGTTTGATGTGTAACTAACAAAACGTAACATTCAACCTTATTTCTGCCGAGCTCACTGTAAACGCTTTTAATGTCTAATAATGCACCATAAATAGCGCGTAGAAGGTAGATAAATGTATATTGTAATACACTTTAATTACATTGCAATTTTTGTATGTTAGAAGTATCTTATAGTATTGAAAATATTCTAGAATAGATTACATTTGAACTTTCAATCAAATTATCGCCTTTAATCATGTAGTACTCGTAATTATTTTCATCATCTTTACAATAGTAACGTAGACAAATTCTATTATAGTATTGAGCTCTTATAAAATTAATATAAGGGTCGGTGCATACCTGACACGATTCGAAACGTCTCGTCGGTCGCGTAACATGAGAAATCGTAGACGGACAAGCCGTCGCGTATTGATGCATACTTCCGTGAGACGTTTGAGATCTTCCGTGAGACTTGTACCGACCCTAAGGCTAAATTTTAGATATCATAATCGAGCACAATATCATTTAAATTGGTATATGTAGTAAATAATGTTTAATTTCATTTTCAGTGTATATTACGACCCATTCTTAGCAGCAGCTGCGACGGCTGACTCCAATTACAGACTACAGGTAAAATTTCACGCCTGCAATTTTAGTTTTTAATCCGAATACCACACTAAAAAGATAACCATATTTTTAAATAAATACAATACACCCATTAACATAGCGTTCTGAATATTATAGATTAATCCCACAATTCTGAATGAGTTGTACTTTGCTCAATGTAATAATAACTATATAATAAATTTGCAATTTTTTTAATAATTTACTTTACATTAGTGTTGTTGCGGTAGCGATAGTTTGCAATTTTGATTTTGAATTTTGATAAAAAAATACTTTTATTTTATAAATGTTTTGCAAGGACCTTGAAAAACATTTATAAAATAAAAGTATTTTTTTATCAAAATTACTACCAAAAATGCTTTCCTTATACAACCGGTGTTAATGTGATTGAATATAGAAACATATCGTTATTATCACGTATTATATTACACTACTATCATGCAGTCATATTGTGACAGGCTGGAATATTGACTGTATTGTAATTATAATTCTATAATGATTTTAAGCAATAAAATTTAAATACTTTTTATATTTTCACTCAAGGTCACATTAATTGTGGTCTCTATCACAACAACACAATTTCATATCGGACATACAATAACTATAAAGCTTTTATAACTCCCTCAGAATATTGGGTTGCTTGCCCACGGTTGTTCTCGATAAATTTGAAAATGTAAGGCCCGGTTTCACCACTTGCTGATAAAGTCCCTGTTAGCCTAAAAAAATTAGAAACTAATCTGCCAGATATCTTGCAAATTTTGATTTGACAAGTCTATCTGACGGATAAACTCAATGTCTAAGCCTAATTAACTGTGATATTAATTAAAAACATGGAGTCGTCGGTGACAGTACGTGTGTTGTTGCAGGCGGCGAAGCCCGCAGCCGAGGTAAACATCAGTCTATAGCTCGCACGCGAGCGATGTGTGATTGTAAAAGTAAAATTCTATCGCTTCCTGATTCATGTACCACGCTAGTATAAAAATTCAGATTATTCATCCGTGGAGTGAGTGCTGGGATTTTGTTTGCTCCTTATATTTATATTCGTATGGTCCTATTGGTTGGTAATCCACCGTAATGCAGGGTGCACTGTGTTTGTGATAACGTTAACCGATTCGGGTAGCACAGGCGAGGCCGCCCCGCGACCGCGCGGTTTGCTTACTGTTGATTTCATTATATCCTTGTTCGTTGGTATTTGTGGTGGGTGATTTAGTTTTAGGCGTTTGCTCAAGCTGTGAGTTGACTCGATCAGATGCTAATTTATTATCATGCTCCGTGTAGAACATTGAGCCCACAAATTTTAATTGCAACCTTCGAAGTTTACTAACAATCACCAAGTAGATTTATTAGCGATGTACATTTCGATTTTTTTTTTTTGGTTAATTTAGTTTGTGTCGTTTTTTGACAACATTGCGATCTTACGTTTCTCTTCTTTAGTGCATGCCAATGAATATCACCACTTCGCAACCATTATTTTTCTGCATCAAATATATATACTATAATATTTTATAAAAAGCGATGGTTTGATGCAGAAAATTCATGATACAGTAGGACCGTGTGCCAGGAACGCTGCATGTTAATTTTGTAAATATCCAACATCACTGCCGGCTCTTTATCGTGTACTGTAATTAGTATTCAATGCGTTACTCTTTGCATCGTCTAGCTTTTAATTTCTAGCTACACAGATGAAACAAATTACAAACTAAGGTACACCGAACGAGCCTTCACAAACGGTAAGGAAATAAAAACTAATGGAGATGTTGTTTCTGAAAAGACCATACTTCGTAGCAATTGATGAGTCATTAAATCATTGAGTCGGACCCGCATTAATTTGTTAAATTACGATTACAACGGGCCTTTTGTGGGCTCATTGTTCGATTAGAAGTTCTTTTGTTAACAATATTATAATTAGTTATGAGCAACTTGGATAAAAAAAAGTAAAGAAATAGACCGCATAAAATTACTTCAATATACAGTAAACACTAATCAATCATTTTCTCAAAAGAATATTTACCAGTCAACAGTATGTCAGGTTATACAAAACTATCAAAATTCTCCAATATATTTTAAATCATAATACGATAAGGGTAGAGTTAAAAATCAATGACAGAAATTCGAAAAGTCCATTGTCTATAATAGGTCTTATACAATATTAATTTGAAATTTACCGCTTACAAGCCTCTTAAGTGGAAAAAAAAAAATGGTTTACGAATTGTAGTTACATATTGCTACTGTTCAATCGACTGCAGGTAATTGAAACGTATAACAAAGGGCCTTCGTAACCAGTACTAATACTAAATCGGCACACGAAAGCAAAGTTAAGAAACAAGCGTGTGTAAAGAGGAGTAGTTATTCATCCCGTGCGTCAGACAAGTGCCGTCACACACGTGAAGCTGACCGTGCACGTTTCGGTGTTTCTTCCAGGCGGCAGCGGCAGCGGCGGCTGCGGCAGCGCCCCTACTAAAGTCCCCGCTGACGACGGCGCAGCACGCGGCGGCAGCGGCGGCGGCTGCTAACTACGGTGCTGCAGCGCGCGCCGCCGCCGCCGCCGCTGTCAGCGCCGCGCCCACGCCCGCAGCGCTAGCGCCACTCGCAACGTAAGTACACGTGTACATATAGGTTATGTACGTACTTAGAGCACACAAGTGTTATTTATTAAATTGAAAGATAAACAGCCAGTTGCATACATAAACTTCCATTAAACTTTTAATTCGTTTCAAGCCTCATTAGTAATGATGATTTTGTATCGGGCGGGCTTTAGCAAACCTGTACAAAATTGAAATCCATTAGAGCTTAAAGGCGTCATCAAACTAAATATCTGTATATTTCCCGCCTATTGTTGTATGAATAAATTATATAAATATCATAAATTAGAACTATGAGGAAATGTTACCTTATATTTGTGTCATTGTCCGTTTTTGTCTGCACTAGGATCAGTTTAAAGTATGGTGCTCATTTACTTATTTGCATCAATTACAGGAAGAAAAGAATTACATAGCTCCATTATATTAATAATTATTCGTAATAATTGGTCGTAGAAAAAATAGAAAATGAGAAAAAAAATCTCATAATGTTAGATAAAAACAAACTACCTACCTAGTGTTTATATAATTCTTATTTAGTTAAGATGAAATTATATTCGGTGATATTTTTACTTAAAATAATTTTCAATTGGCTACTTAATCGTATGCAGAGTTTGACCTGAAACCATCTTATTATAGGTACGGCAGAGAATACGCGGACCCATATTTAGGGCACAGCATTGGCCCCGTCACAGGTTATGGGGTAAGTTGTTTATTCGTTTATATTACACATCGTCAGGCTGTATCTGTGTCATACTAAGACAGAAAATAATAATTTATATAATATTGCTGTAATGGAAATTGGAAAGTTTATAAGTTCATAATACAATCACACTTAGAAAATTGTGCAATTTTATTATTATTAATACACTAAATCAATATTATTGTTATTACAGACTGCAGTTTACAGAAGTGGATACAACAGGTTCGCGCCCTATTAAGCCAGTGGAACAATGTTAAAACGTTTTACTCGAATACGAAACTACCTTCACCTTAACTAACATGACAATGGACTCTCTTTGTAAACGTACAAACATAATTCATAAATTAAGGTAACAGTAATAGTGCTAGCCGATTTATTATTCCTGTGTAAGCTTGGGTAGCATAGTCAACTAACAGTAGATGCGGCGCGCGCGCAGCTAGATTACTGCGACGCGCGTCGGAACTTATGAATACCAAAGTCATTAAAATTTCTAACGGAAATAGTTTATTAAGTTAAACTGTATTGTAAATTATTTGTGTACCTAATGCTATACAAGTGCGAGCAGCTAAAATATAAGTGCTTTTGTTCTATTAGATATTTGTAAGAATTGCTATTTTACTATTAAAAAAAAAAACAATGAGTGAATGTGGATATCTACATTATAGTGTTACGCTATTGTCTAGTGTAGGTGTTACACTTTGTAATTGACAATAGGAAAGTGTTTCATATAATGATATTTAGTGAGCTTTGCACTTGCATATCATAGAGAAAAATTGTATATACTGATAATACCCATCCTGATTCGTAGAATAATTACTGTGTGCGGTGAACAGTTCGAACACGCACCAATGTTATTGTTCTCGTCTCATTAAACAATAAAGTATAAATTGTAGAATATAATATATATTTCTGCATCGCTTACGGTTTGTACGCTGATTAGTAAGTTTAGGTACTCTGTGAATCGAAACAAAGAATCGTTCGTTACACGCAGTTTTATATGCGACATGTTCTCTCAAAGATCTTTTCTGTGCTACGTGTAACGAATCTTCTTAAGTTTCGAACGATCATGAAGATCGTATAGTGGTAAAAAAACGATTTACAGCCTACGCCAGTTTCAGCGATTAAAACGGTAAACGATTGGGACTATAGTTTTCCTCATCACTTCCAGATAATGAACTTTTTTACCTATATAGAGTTTTATGGTGCGATTTATTCTACGGTGCCATCTATTTGGTTGTTGTTTTACAAGTGTATATTTTTTCAAACAGTTACCTTTCTTACTAAATGCCGTAACTTTGAATAGAAATAAGTTTATTTAGATGGTTGTCTCTGGCCGAGTCAGGTCCATCACTCTGTTAGCCATTGCTGTTTACAGTTCACTTCAAGTCGATAGTTACATTATATGAAAAAATTGTCTCAAAAATTTTAACTTTCAGTTTTATCTATTATAAAAAATCGAAATCGCTAGTTTGTAACGTTTAATATTTTACTGAAACTTAGGCGTAACGCTTTAGATGTAGTGTTAAGTGAAAGAACGGAACTCCATAGAGTTCTCACATATCATTGAGATTTCTCCTCGTAACTTTTCTTTCCGACACCACCCTTGGTGTCAGATTTTACACAGTGCTATATTTTTAAAACTTTTTAATCTCTTAATGTATTTTTTTTATGAACAAACACGCGTACGGGTCCAACCCCTTTTAGACGTCGTCGTAACTTAGATCTAACATTTGAATTAGTGTTGTAAATTATCGTAAACATCCATGGATTCGCTCAACGTTTATACCAAAGCACAAAACCCATCGATTCGTACCTATCCGGAGCGTTTGCATGTCCACTAACCTACACACCTCATTTTAGATTTCATAGTCTTTCATCTCGAAAAACTAAACAAATCTATGGGTATACATAGATAATTCGGATCGATCAATATCTTTTAAGTTATTTTACCGTAGTGTTGTAAGATTTTTTTTCTCTATGAACATATCTATTTGCCATTTAGAATAACGGTTACTTTATACTAACAATAGCTATGTCTGAAACGATTTATTATTTACTATAGCGTTATTGCAATGGAAATAATTTATAAATAGTATCGTCAGGCTGTCAACAGTAAACCTATACACCTAAAGTAATTCTACTACCGCTATTCTAGCGCTTCAAAAATATCGTTATCGCGGAATATCGATAATTCAACGACGCTAATATATTTTAGTGCTCGTTTTACAATATATAATCGGTTATTTCTCCGTCATTATTTCAGAATAATCACACAAACGCTAACATATCAGAAAGTTAGTTGAATTTCAGAATGCCAGTTATGAACAAGGTACATTCAACAGTACATCAGCTTAGCCAAAGTTTTTGCTCCAACAATGGATTTTGACCTTTACTTCTTTGTCATTTAAGTTTAAAATCGGTTGCGAATATTCATAGGTTTATGGTAACCTGGTGTACTGGTCTGTGTACATACCTGTGGTGTCGTCTACAATGATAGCTTTAATTATAACATACGAATAAGATAAGGCGTTCACCCGGTGACTGCCGATGAGTCGGTCCCATGACATATTTCGCTCTTACAGATGCTCTAGTCTTTTTTGCGCACAAAATATTAAAAGGTGCTTTTTTCGTTAGAGTTTCGTGTGATATTAACGGCACAGATTTATATTAATCTGGTCTTGGTTCGAACGGATCCCCTCGTATATCTTATTTGTTAAGAAAGTTTTCGTGTCATATATATATATTTATAGGGATATTATATATTTGATTTTTGGTATCGCAGTCTCATCTGTAAGTGCCACTGGCTTATGTGTCCTGTAAGTTATAGTTGTTTACTTTGTTTAGACGTAAATGCAGCCAGCCATGTCGCAGCTTCGAACAATATTTTTGCTTTACTGCTGAATACTCATGCGTGAATGCGTAATATTAAGTGAAACCTATAGTTTTGTAGGAATTATCTCTCTAAGTTTCTAAATGCAATTTTTTTTGTATCTAAGTACATGAAATTGAAAGTACATGTGTGATTCTATTTGATGATTTTATATAATTAGTTTTTAATATTTTGTCCAGTAACCAATGTCACAAACTATTTTGTATTGTATAATTTTAAGCTGGTAATTTTCAACAGGGCGGGCTTTGGCGGAATTTCATTATTATAAAATTTAAATAAGTTCTTCGATAGAAAATTAAAGCCCGCCATGTTTAATCGATTCTTCTAGTAGTGTTTCGAATATTATTTAGCTGTTTTAACCATTTATAAAATATATTTTAAAATAAATTCAAATGATCGCAACAATATATATTTTTTTTATTTAAGGCAAATTTTCACTTGGAGAAAAAAAAATTGAATTTATATGACATATCTGACAAAATGGTTAGTGTGCTACGATAAGATTTGAAATCATCAAGAACAATGTATTATAAATATAATAATCATTAAATTAAGGATAATGTGTATTTTGTAACGCGGTTTGTTTCTCGGTTTTTATGAGATGTTAAATTAAAAATTTCATACTATTCTCGTTTCCATTATGCTGTGCACAAATTGTACGATCGACGGCTTCGATTTGTAATCATTAGGTCTAAAACAAGTTGTTATGATGTTGTGCATAATGAATCATATCAGTAGTGTTGTTGGCGGATGTCGATGATTGCTCCCAAGCGACAAGACTACTGCGGCGCGCGCCCTCTACCGTCTCTGAACTAGAACTAAACTTCTATTGGCAACTTACTATATGACGGCTAATATTTGTGCAACATTTCGCATTACCTAGTGTTGTTTACTGACGGGATTTCCCTGGAGGATGTCCTGCTGGTTTTTTGCGTTTTGACTTCATACTTTAAGACGCTTTCGTTACGTGACATTTAATGATTGATTATTTAGGATCTAACCATTGAAATTTCGAAGTTTTGAAACTCCGCGTTGGTTAACAGATAACAACACTAGTTCATACAAATATTGTCGCTTGTAACTGCGGCATATATATATTTAATCTTCCATACTTACTGGGCTAATTAAGGGGCGGAGAGATCGGCGCGCGCGGCCACTGTATATAGTGTTATGGCGGAACCGCCGCATGTTGTGCGAATGATTTTTTTTTACCCTCGGGTTCATATTGTTAAAAGTAGCCACAGTTGATAAGTATCACTTGTTCGTCAATTGCACTCGTCGACGCTGTTCAGTTAGATTAGTAATGGTGCGCAGATTAGCAGGGTTATGATATCACATTAAATGCCTATGTGTCCAGCAGGTCCACCGCGTAACTACATTGGCATCGATTTGATTCATATTCGATTCAATCAAAATGCACTTAATACATTAAACGTCGAGTGCATTTTGACTGAATCCAATGCGAATAAAAAATCTAAACAATCAATCGATGTAGTTGGAATGTAGGCCTGCCGGTTTAATGTATGCTCTAAATCCTAGACGTGACGTACTGTAGCGATGCACTCTCTAGTAAGTCGCACCACGTCTAGGTATATAAATAAAGGATCGTTATAATTGAACTTGGGAACATAGGTAGACGTAGCGCATACCGATCGTAAGAAATGTAAACTGAATGCTGTGCGCTTCTGAACATATGGTTTACGACGTACGTCTTAAAAATATGTATACTTTTTAACAGTTACTTACTGTTATAATGAAAATAAAGAACATGAAATGAAATTGTATTTTTCGACAATAAACAAAATTGGATTGAATCGTAAATCATATGTTAGTAAAGCTCGGAGCTGTTTCGTATTATTTTTGTAAGATAAAATTATCGATGTCATCTATTGGTTGGAGGCGCGACTCGACCAGTATTCGGATACTATTACAATACCATGCTCAATTTCCATGTAATTATGTATGTTGTTCGTGTAATGTTAAAGTAAATGTATTTGAAATTTAATATAACCAACAATAGATTTGTTACATAATGAATGTCTTCCGTTCGGCACAGTTTATATAGACTCATTGCACGTTTAATTGTTGCACGCCCGTTGAGAAATGTGCAGTTTTTTAGAACAAAAACGTCGAGCCAAGTGCACAGCGAGCTCCCTCGATTACGATTTGTGATAAAGTAAATAATAAATAGAATTTTCCTTTTTTTTAGTGTGGCAATTTGTAGTGAATTGCAAGCTGATTTTCTCTTTTTATTGTAAATATATATTTTTTTTTTCAAATGAAAAATATTGAATGAAGTGAATCATTTAAAGCCTTTGGCATTGTGTACTCATTTACGTTATTAATAAATTATAGTATAAAAGTGAGTTTCTTTCATTAGTGAATTAATCCTGTACACTTCCTTTAAAGCGATGCAAGTAGCGTGTAGGACGATTCGACACGACCACCGATAATAAATCCGACGCGGTGGACGCTCAAACAAAACTACTTAGGATTGCTACAAAGCGAGTAGCTATTGGTGCAATGATAATAATATTAATGTTGATAAGATTACCAGTCTGATAATAAATGGTAATCATTCCTTAGTGTAAAATAATTAAAACAATCGTTTTACTAAGATAATCTGGTGAAGGCGATAAGGACGCGAGGTTTGCCAGTCGCACTGTTCACGTCCAAAGCGCTAACGCCAACGCAGTTTATATTTCACTGTAGTGTACAGAACATAATGTACGTTACTGATTACTGTTGATTATCGATAGAAACGTTAAAATGGTGCTGTGTCCTCCGTTCCGGATAAATACCAAAGGTGGTTTCAATCTCAACAAGGTACAACGGACCCGCCCCGCCCGGCCGACACGACGTGAGACTATTGCAGTGAGATTTTATGCATAATTATCATTCTCTAATTACACCTTTAAATTATCAATTGACATAAGGCATTCCTCCTTTCTTCCGTCATCACTGTGAAGTAAATTCCATCGACTTACAACCATGCAGTTATGATAAAAGTTCAACTCTGTTGTTTTTTGTTTCATATTTTAAATGTAACTATTTTTACACATTTTAATATAGCTGACTAGGCACGGTATATTATCTGTTTTATTCAACGAGGCTCGTACTTATGTACATTATTTTACATTTACATTATTATGGGAAGGTACCTTCCCTATAGTTCACAAAAATTAGGATAAGGCAGTAAAAATAGGTACTTAAAACATCAAATTTTTCTTTTGGTTAAATTAAGTTCAATTGATAAATCGCCTTTTAAAACACTGGGGTATTAGAATGATAAAACATTAATTTACTTGATAAGACTTAAATCAGTGCAGAGATAAATATACTCACTAAATATATATAGATTGATGTTAATTACCTATATAGAAGATATGTAGAAGCAAATTTAGCAGGTTCAATAATATAACTTATTACCTGCATATAAAAATTACAAAGAAATAACTAATTAGTTATGGAACCCGTAATGAGCGAATTTTTATTTATTCCTTTTTTAAAGTCATTAAAATTCAAAATAACTCAATCAATTTTGATGAGAGTTGTGCCTACGAGTCTCTTTCCGAATTAACTTGTGAAACATTAAACATATAGACTAGTGATTCCTTGCCTCAGCATAACTTACCCTTGTGGGAAAACTGATTTTACCCCAACCTTATGCTTGTTAGGTAGGTACAACAGGTAATAAAAATATTACAGACTTCTATATAAAGAATTCTTTGGCAAATACAAATATCTTTATTTATGAATAGTTACTATCGTTTTCCATTCTCCAGGTTTAATGTTAGGTTTGTAAATTGATAACCTCCTTTTTTGAAGACGGTCAAATATGAAAGAGAGATGCCTTATAGTTATGAAAAACAGGATAAAAAATATATAAAAAAAACAACAAAGTTTTTACCTACATTAAATAAAGATACTTTGCTTTAACAGGTATTACCTGAAGCTCTTGGAGAATTTTCACCAAGAAATGATAGCGAAATTTCAAATGGATATTCCATTACACCGGTTAAAAATAACAGTTTATCTTTAGATGTAAGCATAAATGATACAGAACATAACAGAGACATAAAGATACAAAGTAGCGCGAGTACGAGTAGAAAATCCAGCATAAAAGACTCCGACATATCTGACAATGAAATACTTGACGATCGTAAAAGTAGCGCCGGCCGAAAGACTATATCGGAATTGGTTAGAATCGCTCCCAATAAGCATGCTGCCAAAAGGAGGGCGGTTATACCACCACCAATTCAAATTGACACAACAGATTTGCAGTACGAAAAATATGAGAAGGATCAAAGGTAAAAACTTCTTTGTTATTAATTAAAAAAAAATACATTAGGTATTTAACAACAAATAATAACTCCATGGTTCTTTCGTAGTTCAGCTACACAAATCAGCAATGCCATTATGATGAATGATTTCTTACGGAACTTGATGGACGTCGAGCGTTTAACAGCAGTGGTAGAGGCAATGAGTCCACAAGAATTCTCTCCTGGTAGTTTAATCATACGCGAAGGCGAAAGTGGCAGTCACCTATATGTCTCCGCTCATGGACAGTTCGAAGTCCTCAAAGGCGGGCAAGTTGTCAAGACATTTGGGGCAGGAGAGGCATTTGGAGAACTTGCTATTTTATACAAAGCGAAACGTTTCGCTTCCATACGATGTAAGATTTTCTCATAATACCTACTGTTTATTATTCGTAATTTTAAGGGGTTATGTAATTCTACATGAAACTCGTCACTTCTACCTAAAAGATATATTGTAACTCGCCGCCAGAACTATACCATGTAACTCTTTCAGCCTGGCAGCTTCCAAGATGTCTATAAAATTCCTTGCTTTTAAAGCTTTTATGTATCCTTCGTACGTGAATCAGTGGTCCACATTCACACAGGAAATGTTATAGTGTTTTACGCTCCTGTTTTATAAAATTTTCCTACAATACAGTTTAGATTTTTAAATAATTAATCAATGGGTATTAAATAAATTCCCTTTAAGACTTAGTCATCAATCTTTTCTTATTACTAAATTATGTACTTATAAATAGATTGAGGAAAAACATACTTGAAGAAATAAAATGATTATGAATCAGAGAGCAATGCTTCATCTATCTATACTAACATTATAAAGTTTGTTTATTTGTAATGGGTAAACATAAAACTACTAGATCGATTTTAATAACTATATCATCAATACACCTAAAGCTACATTATCAAAAAGTAACATGGATTATGTTTTAATAATTATATAAATCTGTAGGTGATTCGGAGGGTTAATTATTATCAGATAATTTCGTGTAAAACAAAAGATATCAACGCAATACAGGTATTGCTGAGTCGAAGGTGTGGATGTTGGAAAGGCGAGTTTTCCAGAAGATAATGGTTCGCAGCGGACGGCAGGAACAAGAAGATAACGTTAGGTTCCTGTCTTCTGTGCCATTACTTCAGGGTATACATCCGATAGAGCTGGCCAATATTTCTGGTTTCTTGAAAAGGGTATGTTCTATATATAATGTTGGACTAATTTGATTGCTTTTTTACAACCCTGGTACCAAAGCAGCCGCCTCAGAATATTTATTTTAATCTTAACTTACCTACGCAGTTACTGCTAAGTAGTTATACATGAAATATAAAAAAGTTGTTTCCCGCTCTCTGTACGCTGAAATCTTTTGATACATAGGATTTTAATGCAGTTATCATCAATATAAGGTGTAATCCTATCCTATTAATATTATAAAGGCGAAAGTTTGTAAGTATGGATGTATGGATGTTTGTTACTCTTTCACGAAAAAACTACTGGACGGATTTGGATAAAACTTTACAGCAATATAGGTTATACATCAGAATAACACATAGGGTACTTTTTACTGGGAAAACTTCTCACTCCCACGGGATACCGACTTCCACGCGGACGAAGTCGCGGGCGTCCACTATATTATTATATGCAAGGACTTCGCGGAATAATAATATTATACTTTATATACAGTGTGGTTCAAGAGGAAGATTTATATTCCTAATACAGATAATACTACCCATTTACCCATAATGTAAATAATACACGGGCGAAGTCGCTGGCGAAAAGCTAATAAGCCCTAAAATTTAAATATCATCACAGAAGAATGGTCTTTTTTTTTCGAAAAAATCTTAATACCAACCTCCAGAATCGCAGTCACGTCTACCTACTACCGGTTTCAGGACGTCACCATCTCAGATATCCCGAGCTCAATTCTCAGTCGAGTCAATATAGAAAACGTCGTTTGCCTCGGGTCTGATTGTTTTGTGGTACCTTCGTTGTTTCAAAATTTCATAATACATACATGATTTATCTGAGGAATGTTTTTCATATTGTGTAATATTAATTTTATCAGTATAAATTCTGAACCCCAAAATAATGTTTCTTTAAGTATCTCTCGAGATCCATCTGTATCCCGTGTTAGACACACTTATAATAATAATTAATACAAATAAGTACGAGACTACAAAAATATATTAAGAGTCCAAGATGAGTTATAAGCACCCGTATCTGAGACAACGAAGGCAACAAAGAAATGTGGGTTTTGTGGTAACACCCACATTTTTTCTACACTCAAATGTCACTTTTCTCGGGTGCGCCCATACTATATCTCACTCTCGACCCGAGAAACTGACAAATGAGTGTAGACAAAGCGTTTCTCGAGTTTGTCATACTATGCGTTCTGGTCCCTCTGCGGGTTGGGGGTACATCTCAGAGACACAATACAGAAAAGGCAATTTTCTACATTAACCCGACCGAGAATCGAAGCCGGGACCTCAGAGATGACGACACCTTAAAACCGGCATACAAACCATTCGGATGTGGAGGTCATAGCAATACCTATTTGCATAATTTGCGTTGAAGTCTTGTTTTAATTTAGACCGTGTGGTAGGAATTTTTCTCATCCGGCACCCCAGTGGTGCGGCAAGGCGAACGCGGGGACAAATTCTACATCATCCGCGGAGGTACCGTGGCTGTAACTAAACGTGACGGTGATGTCGAACAGCGTGTTGGAACGCTACGCAGGTAATTATCTATATTTATTTATATTATAACGAAGAAATATTTTATAAGGTTTATTTTTATTGAATTAAAACTTTTTTAACTTTCTTACACAATTTAATTGTCGCTACTTTAAGGCAACATTACCGATACTTACAAATTGAAATGAACAAACTTTCAATCCCTATTCACCCATTATGGGTAGTATTTCCACAAACGCCGATAGTTATACTCTTTCAAGGTAAGTTATAAGATACAAAAATAAAATTCTTCTATCTGTTAACTTGGACATATAAAAACATATAAAAGTAAATCATTTCAATTTTAAGCCGATACTCAGTGTAGTAAATTATTAGTTTTTTTTAAGAAATTTGTGTCAGTTCTGGGTTTTTTCATTTCTATGATGAAAGAAATTTAAATACATAAGTTTTTAGCCTGAGTAATGTATTTGAAATGGTTCTTCACAGTGCAAGGTCTCTCGCCTTAGAATTGCGAACTGACGGCATAGCTTTCGACATTCACCGTAACAACCTAGACTTTATAAATGATATATATTAATATTTATTTTTTATCTAGAGGTGATTATTTTGGTGAACAAGCGTTGCTGCATGAAGACCGGAGGCTTGCTACCGTCACTGCATTGCCGCCTGGTGTTGAATGCTTGACCTTAGAACGAGGGTAAGTCCATAATAAAAATAAAGAAACTCTTCTTAAAATAGGTAATTAGTACTACCCAGAGGCGAATTCACGTTTTGACGAAGCGAAAAAGTCGATAGAGTTGAAATTTGATGGGGTAAGGGTATGAACTTTTTCTAACCTTAAAGCCAAAATAAAACATTATTTTCCCGAAGAATCGAAGTATGTAAGTAAGTTGGCCGCAAGCCTAATTTTTAATATTGATCTGTTTAAAGAAAACATAGGTTTTATAATTAGCGTGTTTTTTTTTTAAACAAACATTTTTTAAAACACTTCTTCTTGTGCCATTGGAGAAAATCTACCTTGAATACATTTTTCAGTCTAAGCGCCATCACTGGCTCTACCTAACCTTCCACAGCATGCAACACTTATAACTTAAAGCAACTACGTGCGTCTCCCCTTAATCTAAAATAATAAAAACAAAATCACCTATAGGTAAATGCAAAGATTTTTCTTTCTACAACGGCCAAGTATATTCTTATCAGGTTTTTAAACTAATAAAAATCAATGTTATTACGTTATTTTCGTTGGAAATCTTTTTGCTTGATTAAATAAAATACGCTTGCGTGTTTAAAATTATCTAGTACAATGATCAAACTATACGAAGATTGTGAGATAGTCGATAACGGTTATGGTTATGATTTTTGTAACAAGCTTTTCTAATTAAATTGTTATTTTATAGATATTAATTTATAACTTTAAAAGAAAATGCTGGAGGATGCGGGAGGCGCAGGACCGATCACATTGGTGATCATTGGGGGAGGCCTATGCCAAGCAGTGGGCGTCTCTCGGTTTATATATGATAAAAGAAAATGCTTATTCAATAAATTTACTGTAAAGTGACGACACGGTTTATCAATTCGGACGAAATATTCTGCTTAATCATATCCATCGGATAACACCTACAGTTGGACTACAAGCCTCCCCCAAAAATATCCACGACCATCGATTCCGCGCGACCGTCATCCTTAACGCCGTTAGTACACAGCATCATCTGCGATACTTTGCGTAGTCGAACAGGGTTGTTTTCACCACCTTTAGTCATCAGAAATCGGCACGAGTGACAACCCTGAATGTGAAATATGTGTGTTTGTGTAACGACCTTTTTCGCAGTTGACTGCGAAACCGTGCAGCAATTTATTCGCGCTTATAATAGAGCGAGACGAAGCATATTCGAAACATTGTCATACAACTGACAAGATTCGCAAGTGAATGCATCGGTGTACTAACGGCGTAAAGATTAATCTTAACAACCTTAAAACATTGTCTTTGGATAATCACGTCGCCATATTCGGGTAAAGAAGATCTTCCGGACCATTACTGAGTTGGATTGACCACTCTTCGAAGTTGAACCTACGTAGTGTACTTCGAAGGTACACTTACAGCCGTTTTCTGAATTGAGAAAAGTACAAAATCCTAACAGATAATTCTCAATAACTTAAGTTTTTATGTTTCACAAGTCAAAAAGTCCTACTCTAAAAGTTCTATAAAAGTTCAATTTATCATTAAAAAACTAAAATCAGAAACGAATATCTGTTTAAGTACGATTTGAGACGTTCTCAATTTTAAATTCTCAATTCAGAAACCGATTGTTATATAATATGCAAAAACTTCCGAGTGGTTATTTTATGACTGCAAATCTCATCATTTACGTACAGGCCGTTCTCAGAATTTCTTGGTGATTTGGATGAGCTGAAAAAGAAACGCCACGTCGTGCCGGGCCCCAGTGAACGGAGCAAGACATCACAAGTTAAAAGTGGTAAGGATGATATTAAAATACTTAATTTTTTGTAACTTGACAAAGTAATCTGAAAACTAAATATTTAAATTATACTTAATGAATGCTTCTAAACTTCTATTATCTTCCGAAATAGCATACCAATTTTACATATGGTTTCCTAAAAAAAGGTACCTAAGTGTTTTATGCGATGCCCTTCGTTTTTTTACATAAACTTTACCGTTTTTAAGATATTCGAGCGTAATTATATTATTTATACAGTAACTTTAACATTTAAGTAAAAGGAATAGGTGAATAGTTACTATATTTGTAAAATTGTAGGATATATAAATACATTATTATCAACACCGCAGTCATTAACTTGAAAATCTAAAGGCCGTTTTACACCAAACGAGCGAATGTTCATGTTCCGCAATTTGTCAAATCTCTGCAATGGATGTTCACCTCTACTATACTATACATTAACGAGCATTTTTCTTTGAATAATTATCAGTATATGTAAATAGCATTGTTGCGTTATCTATTGTTAAAATATAGAGTTCACAAACAACAACGAAAAAAATTCATTCAGGCAAATAAATTAATATCTATAATAGCCCCATGAAGTTTTAATACAGGATTATAATTCAATAGTTTATCTATAAATAGATTACAATAAGAACTCATATAAACAATTCTGATCATTCGCTGATTCATGTTGGAACATGGATAACTAATAATATATCCTTGTAAACAAATTGGTTACTTTGCGCAAGGTGAGAGTTTTTAATATTATCTAAAAAATATCTTATATTCTTACATACTTTACGTTTTCAATAGTGGACTGATTTTGATTAATCTTCTTGTCCATTCTTTATTTAATATCAACATATTAAAAAATAGAAAACTATTTTTCCTCGCCCGACTTCAAAAAAGCGTCTTGAATATACCACCATTTGTAATTACTAATAGTTTTTCGGATTTTTTAAGTTACTTCTAGTTTTTTGAAAATAAAAACCTATTTTGTTAGTAATTTCTTAAGATTATATCTCAAACATTTTCAGAAACAAAACTTTTTCATTAAGTTTTCAACTTCCTATAACAGAAAACTGTTTTTCCTTAGAATTTGAGTATGTGGAACTCAAGGATCTGGAGATAGTCGGCACATTGGGCGTGGGTGGATTCGGGCGTGTAGAGCTGGTACAATATAAGAAAGACAAAACCATTACCTTCGCACTCAAGTGTCTAAAGAAAATCGAGATGGTGCAGCAGCAACAGCAAGAGCATGCCTACAACGAGAAGCACATCATGATGGTGTGCGACAGTCCGTTTCTATGCAAGTGAGTTATTTTAAAAATAACTATAACTAAAGCTGATTATGGATCTTTTCTAATATTTAATTATTACCTACTTTCGAATATAATTGTCTTATTTAATCTATACCTTTCGAATGTATAAGCGATTGTGTTAGCAATTTATGGAATTGTGTACTTTTAAAATCGCAATCACTTTAGGAATTGAATGATGATTTGAACGACCAAGAAACATAAGTAAAACTTATCTAAACCCATAGAAAGATTGCAGATAACATACAACTCTTTCGTTTGATATTTCTCAATTGCTTTCAGATATTTGCGTCCAACGTTTGCTTAAGACAATGTAGTATTTAAAAAAAAACATTAGCTCCCAATATCAAACTAGATGTCACCACGGTACGTTCTTGATTTCTCCATGACAACCTTTCCGGTTTTTTTTTTCAAGTTTAAAAGTAAATTAGTTTTCAAAACTCAATGACCAACTCACATTCTATTTGTACTGATATCTAAGTTTAACTAATATATTACCTACCTTTTTATGTAATTTTCAGTTTTTTAATATGTTAGTTAAAAGGAACAGAAATTACTGTCTTTGGTCCATTCATTTCCTGCAGACATCAACTTTTGCTAGAGCGCCATCTAAAGGAGGTGCATTTTTAGTCCTTTCGTTTTTTTGAATACTTCGTCATTCCAAATAATGTCTAATTAACGATATCTTCCAAAGAACGTCACGAGAGCAATGGGTATCACATGTCAAATAGTTGTAGCGTGAAATTCTTGAATTTCTTTCTAAAGTCAAATTGAAAGGGATTGCGGCAGTTTTCAATATAAGAATAGCCCTCTGATTTGTAGTAAGAAGTTTAACAATCTAATGAGGATAAAAAGCCAGGGAATGATTTTAATATGTTCAGGATATATTCGTTATTAGTGTAATGATTTTGAAGAATCATCTTTTATTTGAAAGGCTACATATTCTTATAAAGGGAGTTTTTGTTCAGTGTGTTTTGTAAAACTGAAGAATAAGTAGGTTAGTCATTTTACGTCACATTGTTGGACTCTAAAACCACCCAAATAAATAGTTTTAAATAATGTAATAGAATCATACTAAGAAATTGGGCTGTTAATACTAATAGTACTCAATTTTTACGAAGTTAAGTTCTTTAAGAGGTATGTAGAAGTTATTACTAAGAGATGATAATTCAAACTCACAGGAAAGTAATAAGAAAACTGCTGATGCATTTTTTATCTATAACGGCTTTATTCTTGTCTGTGCTATTTCCTCACATCACAAGACCTTAACATAATACCTATTGTACATAAATCTGATAAGATATATTATTTATGACTTTCTTAAACTCATTTAATGCAAATGGTTTATTATGTTTTACACGTTATCGATACTATGATTCAAATTATCGTCAATGTGAACTCCTAAGTTGAAAATGCATCAAATATTGCTTTGGTTTACGCCTAAAGCCGTGTCCGTACTGCTATCAAACGAGCAAGTCTGAGGTTTGTAACGCAAACTACAAAGTTTCAAACGTTTCCTAAAACAAAGAGCAGGCATAAGTTGACTGTAAAGGCGGCGAGAATGTATATAGTTTTGCGTTTTCAGCTTTACGTATTACACAAAATTTCTGCCTACCCCGTCTTAGGCGATATTTGCTTGCATCTGTAAAATACCACCCATGGCTAGCCTGCTTGTAATGGCCAATAGCATCTTCTTTGGGCGGGGTTGTCATGAAATATAATACAATGACAAAAAATGAACAGGGTTTATGAACGTCCGAATTTGCCTTATGGACCTCAAAAATTGAAATTGCCAAGTTAAAATAAAATAATACAATTAAATTATGTGTATTGTTAATGGGTGTAATATACAATGAATTTCAAATAGAAAGTTACGGTAAGAAGAAAAATAAGTAGGTATTCGATTAACTAACTATTAAAATATTTGACTAATAAAATAATTAAAGTATTCTAAGCAAATCTTATTCATTATTTTGAATCTGATTGTTGCAATATTAAGAATGCATTAAAATTACTCGAATTATATTCAGTAATAATTAAATTATACAAAATTCATTGACTGATATTTTTTAAAGATAAAGTAAGTATTTTATTAACCATTATATAACTATTATATTAACCATTATATTTAAACACACGCTACTCAATTTAAAATATTTATAATGACGAAATTTACGAAGGACAGCACGATGCTACGAAAAGATTAATTTTTAAATATATCTAAATATTGATAAAAAAACTAGAAAATTACTATAAAAGTCATGCAATCTTTTACATAATCATAGCATGCACGATTTAATGATCGAATTATGTAATTAAAAAAATAAAAGTTCACGAGAGATTCGGACTGTAGCGGGAGTGACTAGTTAAATTACGATTAATAATTTTTTAACCCTTCTGCAAGTCGATTGAAAAGGTTTTGATTATTTATTTTAAACCAGTCAATAACCAAAGATCGAAGAGAAAGTGATCGGTGATTCTCTTACACCATGCAATATAGTGTAACGCAACCACGTGTTTTGTTTTTTTGTTAAGTAGGAAACAAATCGCTTACAAAATGGACAGCTGTGTTTAAATGGGAAGACTTGACCTGTTTAATAACAGTTAAATTAGTATGAAACTTTTATTTAGATTTTATTTAGCGAACGCAAACGTAAAAAGACGTACAATGATTTTAAAAATGTTTCATAATTTACATTTCAAAAGAAAGACAAACTTAGATCGTAATATGTTTTTACTATCATTATTCAATAAACATCGACAAAAGCTAGATAACCAATAAAACATCTGGTCGCCCGTTACAAGTTCTGGTATTATTTCTTGCGACGAAACAATTGTTTCGCACGGTGTAACAGTTACTCTGTTAACAGCTTATACCATGATGCATATTTTTGAAGCAAAGAAATGTTCTCTTCGTGAAATTTAAAGTCCTTTGTATAAATATATTACCTACCTTTTTATGTAATTTTCTACAACTTCTACTTGGACAACATGGATTATGAAGTAATACCAATTAACATTTTTATGAGAAAAATAAGTAGCCGCATCTAAATATAAATGGTGTAATTAAAGTATTCTAAGCAACTTTCAATTATTTTTTTTTGATTGTGGCAATATTCAGAATGAATTTCGAATTACTAGAAATTTGTGGAGTAATGACTAAATGAAACAAAATATATTTACTGTTTTTTTAATATAAAATAAAAACTAAACTATATAAAAAAATTAACTAGATGCCTGCTCTGTAATCCTGTGCGAAACGAACACGTGCCGCTTTGTGAGCATCCGATAATACAATTTTTTTGCCGGTTTTCTATACTTAACATCTATAGTTCGCAGCCCATTTCTTATTGTTTGCATGCTGCAATCGAATTCTTCAGCGAAAACCCTTGTGGGTGTGAAGGGTTCTCGCTCGTACGCTGTCGTGAGTTGCTGGATACAGTCCTCTGTCAGGACGGTTCGTCGTGGAAAATGGGGTCGTGTCCATCATTGCCATATCGCCGAATCCACAGACGAACCGTATTTCTCTGTAATTAACAAAAGTAATTATTTTTATATTAATCTATAACCAAATTAACATGGTACAGGGATTTATTCCGATGTATGAAAAGAAAAATAAAGACTATCATGATATATGAAATTATTTTCAATGATTACTTACCGACACATTTAATTCTTCTATTATTTCGGCAATGCTTCGTCCTGTATTTCGCTATTATTTCACTACGCTCCACTACGGTTAGATTTCTCGAAGAACTCATTTCTACTGTGTACTGGGTGTTTAGATGCCAACGTTGCAACTAAACTAACAGACTGATAGTTTAACGAACAAACCTCGTAAAAGTCATAAAAAACGTAGACAATAGACATTAGTAAAAACAGGCGGTCCATCTGATTACATTGAAAAATATTAAGGGATTCATTTGCTCATTGGTTAAGAAAAAAAAGGGTGGGGCACGCTGTGGTCAACTTGTGCAAGCAACATTTTTCTTAAACGGGGTAGGCAGAAATTTTGTTGACACATAAACTCATAACATAAATCACGTACGTTTAAAGTCACTGTGTTGGTGTAGTACAGTCAACAGCACGTCAGGAGGGCAAATTTCTCCATTCAAATTCGATTCAGTAATATGTTGACACTTGAATTCGTGCCCTTTTTTTAGGTAATTAAAGAAAAAATCTTGAAGTACACCAACAACTGAAAAAGAAACAAAAATACCTTCGTAACTAATCAAGTTGATAATTTCATTAACAAAAACATCACCTAATGGAAGACGAATAGGCGAAAATAATTACCTGAGAAAGAATTTGAAGAATATTATTCTGACAGCCTAATATTTGATTGCAGGTTGTATCGCACATTCAAAGACAACAAGTACATCTACTTCCTGATGGAGCCCGTTCTTGGTGGAGACGTATGGACTATACTGCAGAAGCAAAGGTGCTTCCCTGAAGTGGTGGCTAGATTCATGACCGCCTGCGTTGTCGAGGCCTTCCAATACCTTCATTCTAAAAACATAATCTATCGTGATCTCAAGCCGGAAAATTTGATGCTCGACAAACATGGATATATCAAACTGGTAAGATGATTGGTATGAAATTTTAACAGATTTTTATAGCCTGATGACTGTACTTACCTATCATTACTAACATATTTAGTCCAAAAATTTGGTGTCCCATACTGAACCGGCAAAGAAAAATAATATACTATAATAGAATGGATCATTTTCTCATCACACTATGTATGCAAGAGCATTCCCTTAATTCACTTTTAATGGAAAATCATTCATCAGAACTGACTTGTACTGACTATTTGCCAGCTGACTGACGTTCATCATCATCATCAGCAGCCCTTTTACGTCCCCACTGCAGGGGCTCAGAGGCGGATGGGACATCACCACGCGGATCAATGTGGATTTGAGGGTATTAACGACTGCAAATGCAGCCGGAACCAACGGCTTAACGTGCCTTCCGAAGCATGGAGTAGCTAGAGATAATATTTTTTTGGCTACCCATCCCGTGACCGACCCTTGCGAAAGTTGCTTAACGATTACAATCGCGGGCCGCGGCGCTTATCTACTACGCCACCGACCTACTCTAGCTAAGTTCAATTACAAATCTTAAAAATATCCCATGGCTTATAACTGAAAGTATAGCAGTTTCAGTTTCAGTAACTGCCCCTTAGGACAACGCTGCGAATTCATTGAGCTTACGTAGCACAGATGAATTGTGTTGAAATATTTTAATTTATTAAGACAAAACAAATTAGAATAACATTTCAACGATTTAAATTAAAAAACCAATACTATTTTACTTTTTGTAAAAATACTTTTTTTTTAATATTTTTTATTTTTTCTTCAGGTTGATTTTGGATTTGCAAAACGCATATCGCCAAATAGTAAAACGTGGACATTCGCGGGCACGCCTGAATATGTTGCCCCTGAAATTGTTCTCAATAAGGTGAGATTCATGTGTTCTTCAACACTTGACACAAATCATCGATCAATCTATTGCCTTAACTTTAATATCACCGAATTAATTTAAATTAGATTTCATCTTGTCTGCAGTTTACTTGCATTTTATAGCTTCCATTTCTTTCTTGCATTGCAGACTATTGCACGTACAAGCATTTTTGATTAATATTCACTTGCAGAAACTCCATTAAGGTGCAATGCCGATTTTAAGCTCCAATTGATGTTATAAATTGGAAAATATATATATATCGGTAGTAATGCCGCTTTAAACTAATGAAAATTTTGGTTAATGTTTCTACAACTGGCAGTTCGTTTAGCGAAATAGCATACTACTGCCATTACATATTATCATATCACTTTAAATTAACAGTTAGACTACGTAATATAAGACAATATCCGATATTTAGGTATTTCAATTTCGTGGTTTCTTCATTTCAATCATGTATTATTTTGCGTCACAATGTTTTCTAGTAAATCAAGTTCGCTGTCATTAACTACGTTTCTACTTATCTTAATTAGTCAGAATAATTTGGATAAGATTATCTACAATGCACAAATATGCAGGAAAAAAAATTGTTTTCGTTTAAGCATACTTAAACGTTCATATCACCAACGATTACATATATAATATAAACTTAACATTGAAATTGTTGTAAAATCAAAAAGCAAATATTTTTTTTATAATGTTCGTCTTAAAATATACAATGTAATATAATAAATTATTCATTTAACCTAATTAAATTGCCTTTTCATAAAATAAGTTATTTACGAGTAATTTATTCACAATAATTCTATATATTAAATAAGTGATCTAATCACCTAGAAAAATGGGTCAGCCATGTATCGATGAGTTAAAAACTGATGTAGCCAAGACTAACGACTCCACGTGGAGTTTAAAGCACATTTCCGAAGACCGACCATTCCGAACAATGCTAACTTCCACAATCGCTATCAAGCGCTATATATAGTTAATCTTCATTAAACTTTTTGTTATAGGGTCACGATCGCGCAGTCGACTGCTGGGCTCTAGGTGTATTTATTCACGAGCTGATAGTGGGCAAGCCGCCATTCCGTGCTCCCGGCAATGACCACATGAAGACATACACATTGATATTGCAGGGCATAGACGCAGTGGTATTCCATCGACGGGTTTCGAACTCAGCCAAAATTCTGATCCGCAAGTTATGCCGCGCAATACCAGCGGAACGGCTTGGCTACCTCAAAAACGGAATGGGTGATGTGAAAAATCAAAAGTAATTGTTTTAAATATTTTAATTAAAAATATATATGTATATTTCGTTTAGTTCGCAAGTTTGACACAGACACATTGGAAGCATCTTTTAATTATTGACTTTTCATCTCCTCACACAAAATAGCTTAATCGTCACGTTCCCGGTCGATCGGGTCAATATAATAAATTGACTTTTCTACATTATCTCGGCTCTGGGTATTGTGACACCCTCATTCTCTCAGATACTCCATAATACGGGGGCTTTAGCTACTCATCTTGGAATCTGAGCAATGGTGTGATATTGTCTAATATTTATTTATTTATGGCCCCATCGCATAGGCCTCATATAATAAATGTATGAGGCCTATGCGATGATAATAATCAAATAGGGAGCATATGCCAAGCATGACCCACCCAGCGGTCCCACTGTAAATTTGTGAGTATTAACGATTGGAGATGCAGCTAGCATGCGTAGCACGACACACTCGAGAACGTTTTGTCTTTAAATTACACTTTTACTCGAGTGCGCCAATACAACATCTTACTGTCGACCGGAGTAAAGTGACATTTGAGGTAGACGAAGAGTTTATCTGTGGCAATGACTTATATATGACTATTTTTCACTCAGAAAATACTTACCGATTAGAAAAAGTACTGATAAACTAAACGACATATTTTCGACAATAGCTGTTTTCTTCGAAGAATTACGCGCGTTAGCCACTTTCGAGACACAATATGACGAAGCATAGAGAGAAATATTTTATTAGATAACGCGACCTTCATATTAATACCAAAAGATAACCTATATAGGTGATTAGGATTATCCTCATTAATAATCATTGTTTATATTGAGCTGCTAATCGGGGAAGCACATTAATTCTTTGAAATCTATATTGAAATTTCTGTCAATAATTTTATCAAGATTTCAAAGTAGCGTACAAGGTAGAAAGATATGTAAAATACTACACAGACATAGTTTAATGAAATGCTTTTCGTGCAAAATGCATTCTATTCCTTGAATGATTTTTTTTAAGATAAGATGCGTATAAGCGAATCTACTTTTATGACATGATGTAATAAGATACTGTAAGTTTTTTTTAGATTTAGTTTAAATTGAACTATGAATTGTGTACTGTCATACCTTGTATAACAATATTGTTATAATAAATAAATTGAAATTGTTAAATAAATACTTTTGGAGTGAAACGAGCAATTCTCGTTTAATAGGAAAATATTTATATCAAATCTAAGTGAAACTGGAAGCGATAGAAATTACATAATGGAGGTCCAAAAACAAAATAATAACCCTCTAGCCAAAATTGTAGCCAATATTTCGTTTCATTTTATTACTTTAACATGTACTTACTTAAGTAACGACGAACGAACGATAAAGAATGATGATTATGGATTTTAAAGCAGTATTACAACTGATCATTTATCCCAAATTTATCCACCAAACGACTAGTCAAAGTAGTGACATGAAACAGCATGAAACGAAATATGGTCATAACATCGCTAAGATGTGATATCCTTGGCTAGAATTAAAGCTCTCGCTATAACTCTAGTCATGTTATAAAAACGTTTTGTTGATTTTTTCTATAAATATATTCCTTTATATGGTTCTCGCTTTATTATTAACATGTTTAACCAATAGTTTTGGTTTTTGTATTTTCTGAATTATATTAAATTTAACTAAATGAAAAAGACGAATTTAGACAAAGCTATTTCTTAAATTTGAAATTAACCAATAAACTGGAAAAGTATATTGATACTAAAAACATATAGCTATACAAGAAAATTAACGTATTCATTGATAAAAACGTTAGCTCCAACTATAAAAACATTTATTGATTTTATCTAGACATAGGGACCAAGTATTTTAAACACCCAAGTCGATACTAATAGAGTTAGGTTAGGAGTTACATCATCAAGTGCAACACCTTGAAACTCACGTATGAATCACTGGGCCATTATGATAACTCATGGTGTAATGAATACATGTTATTCCAGATGGTTCCTCGGATTTGATTGGGAGGCTTTACGCGAAAGGAAGTTAAAACCTCCACTGGTCCAACCGGTAGCCAATGATTGGGACCTGTCCAACTTCGAAAAATACCCAAAGGACAAATTGCCACCCGACGAAACCTCTGGATGGGACTTCGATTTCTGATTCCTATTGTGTTACTTTTTAAGAATGTAACTTAAAAGTTAGTAGAATATTTTCGTTTTATCATTTAAATTTTATAAGCGAATTAATTTTAACACTTTGTGTGCCAGTAAAGATGTTTTTTACTAAAGAAATTGCCCATTATCTTTTGATATTAATTTGATTATTTCTAGAATGTTTTATCATATTCTAATAAAAACTATGATTTCCTATATCGTATTTATTGTTAGTAGAAAAAAAAATGTAAATATTTTATGTTATAATTTTTACTTTAAAATCTGTAACCATTTTTACTTTAAAACTGGTAGTTGTAATTTCTCTATGCCATTGTTTGATAATAAATCATAAGATGTACATTGTTATTAAAAGTTTTGTATTATTTTATTACTACGAGTATCAGAGTTTAGAAAAAAGGTAAATAAATTTATAAAAACCTTTACAAAGGTAATTTTAATGCTAAAAGTCTTTCATCTAAAGTATTTATTTATTTATTTGTCAAAAAACTCGTGCATGCAAAAAAAAATACATCATCAAGCGCGCACAAAAGCCCTTTGGGGTTTATCAGTGGAGTTCAGATACTAACATTCTAAAGTTATTACAATATTTTTTTTAAGTAAATAAGGTAGTTAGATAAAGCTATTTTATTATTCAACAATGCAATTGACAGAAAGTATACCAAGCAAACTCAATTAATCTTACTTAGCAATAGATAAGAACAGAAATTTATATAATGTAATCATTATTACTTTTATCAAGAAGGTATTTTCTTGATTTTTTTTTTATATTAGGCATTTTTGTAACTTTCTCAATGTCTCAGGTCGAGTATAGGCAATCAATTTATTGATATTGTGATGTTCATCAATCAATATGCCGAGCCTCACACTATTATATATTGGCAAGACCTCACAATATTTTAATAAATCTAAATCATTTAAAAAGCTTGTTTTTATTTTTTTCGGAACCTAACCTTTTACCTTTAGTAATTTTAACTGTAGGTGATAGATATTAGTCAAATGTGTTTTGAACGTTCGTGCGTTCTTCCATAACTAATTAACCCATATCCGATCACATTGTTAGCCAAATCCATATATAAAGTTATCATGGTCATGTAAGGTATTTCGTGTCGTAGAAAAGAAAGTTTAGATGTTTTATCCCTTAATTTATCACATGCATATCCGATATGTGGAACCCAGCTAAATCTATTATGAATTATAAGACCGATACACATATGTTGATTTACGAATTCAATTTTTGGACATGAAAATTGCATATTCATATTATGAAGGCATGAGTGTCCATGGGCGATAATAGATGGTGTAAATATTTTTTTTTTAAATGGCGAGTGGAATGTCTTTTGTTTTTTGCGCGTTTATTACAAGGCCGGTGTTATGAGCCCATTTGGATATCAGATTGAAGCTGCGTTGCGATAGACGCTCCGCTATAGCACAGTGTAAATATAAGTAGACAGTGGTGAAACTGCCTACAAGCGTTCGAAATCGCACGCACACATAAACACGCTCACCGACCTGCCGCCTAAGTGGACCTAACAGGACGCTCAGTAACGCGTATCGCGTCGAGACGAGGGGTGACGTTACACGTTCCGCGATAGTTTTATTTAAAAAATGAAGGAAAGAAGTAGGCTTATGTGAAATAAAAAATAAGTTTTTTTTTTAGATTTAGATGTTTTTTTTTAAATACCCGTTTCAGTATCATGCATATTTTCGGGTTGAAACATAGTACGGTCCCACCCGAAAATGCTTGATAAACACCCAAAAACAGCCGCTCATGAGCGCGCCACCTAAATGCAGTGCCTACCTACCGCGCCTTCGATCCAAAGAGAGCACGAAACGTTGGACGTTTCGTGCGCTCTTCGGCTATGTGTCCGTCAAAACTTGTACAAGGTTATGCCGTAATGTCAAGTTAAAGTCAACATAAAAACAAAGATTTACAAGTTGTGTCAATATTAAACTATTTCTCGTATGTTAAACTATCGTCTTTTACTGAGATTAACCGATTTTTAACAGACTTCAAAAAATGAAGGTTATCAATTCGACCTGTACGTATGCTATATTTCCAGAACTGCCCAGTTTTCGCATATGTTATTCTATACCATGTGGTGATTTAGAATAATATAAGTAGATATCACCGTCTGAACAAATGTGAATGTATATATATTTTTTTGTTTATTAATTAGTTATTACAATTCGATTGATTAATAATGTCAGAACTCCTTTTATATTTTGTAAAAGAAACAATGTCTAAAACATTCAAAATAACAACCCTATGGTTTCAATGGAGCGTAGGTATTTATTTTAACAAACAGGCTTAGTTTCTATACTGTGTCATACTTATACTGTGGCTATAGTGAAATCTGAATAGGCCGTTATTATAAATATTTACATATATTACTTATTGACGAATTATAGAAGCTGCAGCCGGAGATTTCAAAGAAAACCAAAATTTACTTAATACTAATTTAATGAAATAAAATTACATTATATTTCTTAAAAACTAACCTAACTATGTGACCCGATCGATGGTTGATCTAAAAGTGAACTCTATTACTCGGATTGCCTCCATGTCCGTTGTTGCTCCACGTGCCGCTGCATCAGCAGTTTTGGTAATATTTCGGTCACTCCAACAATGGGACCGTGTGCAACGATGTTATATGTCAGCAGATTCCTTTAGTGTGTGTGACCCGACTATAACAGACGTACATGTTACATTATTATTGTAAAAAGTACTTAACGACCGGGAGTCGCACTTGGGACCTCAGAGGTGGCACCACCGTGAAACTGGTGTGATAGTGACTCGATTACGGAGGTCGTCTTTTTGTGATAACATGTGCTGTCGCCTGTACAGTGACTTCCAAACAGTGGAGAAGGAGACCCAGATGCTAAACCTTTGGTGTTAAGTGATCCATACTAATATATTAGTAAATGCGAAAGTAACTCTGTCTATGCGTTTGTTAGAATTTTATGCCTAAATTGCAGAACCAATTTTAATGAAATTTGAAACACAGATAGAGTCAACCTTAGAAAAGTATATAAACTAGTTTTTATCGAAAAAACAGATTCTGTTTTACTGTGATAACTTTATGGTCAAAGTATTTTATATGGGATATAGGTACTTTTTTATATACTGGCTATTTAAATCTGTAAATCATATGTACATACGTAGTAGGCAAATAAACAAATTCTCTATTTTATATTTTTTACAAAAATAGAAGAAATATTCTCAATAAAGGTATAACATGATAAAAATACGCTCACTTATTAGTGAGTGTGCATTCTTGAAGCATTTGTTACAAATGCTTCAAGAATGCATCACTCGTGGAGTGCGACCGTGTAACCCTCTTACCACGATTCTAGCCATAGGAATCGAGATTATGGCAATGTTACTTTTATCGATATTTCGTTTCATTTTACTACTTTGGCATCTACTTTAATAACAAACGACCGAAACAAAAAAATGTTTTTTTTTTTTAGTTTATTTGGGGTAACAAACAGTTTCACATTGAATCTTAATAGCTAGGTATATAAGTTACGTTTTAAAAATAATTAATTGTGAAACCAACACCGTCAACCATGGGTAGATTTTAGAAGTTGAGAGTTAAACAAAGGAATAGTATAATCAAAAAATAAAAAAATATATGTACTCGTACTGAGTGATATGCCCAATGCTGATCTCGTTTAATTTGTTTGTGATTAATGTTTTAAACGAACCAAATGGTTGCAAATATGTCCGTATCATTAAAATAATTATTATGTAAGTCAGCCAGCCGCGATATTGGTGTCCATTTGCCGGCGTTTGTTCGGGATCTAGGTGTTGAGAATAGTGTACTAGCTCAACAGGTTCGTACACGCGGTCTGAATGCATTGACAACAGTTGTTAAAAACTTACTCATTTATCTACCAAGAGATACATCAAATAGTAACATTAAACGATTGATCATCATAACGTCGCTAAGATATCAATTACTATGACTAGAGAGTTAGCCGGTCGCACACCTGCTAGGTCTCGGGTAGCTCAACAGTTAGAGCAGTTGCCTAGATTGTGAAAGGATAAGGGTTCGAATCCAACCTTGCGTATCTTGGCTGGCGAATCTTTTAAGCATATATGATAAATATCAAAACACTATAAATATAAAATTTGGTCAAATATAATAACATTATTAAATAGTTTATCTTAATAAATTGAAATCGCAAAGGATCATAACATCCAGACGAGACATTGCATAGTCTTCCTGTTAACAGGCATTAACTATACTTGGAGTTGAATTCGATTCCCCAGTGATGGTAATATCTTAAAATGTATGTCCGGATGCTAGTGTTAGTAGAGCGCCAAAATCATCATTATATTATATCTATTTACAGTCATATTAAAATAAAGCTAAGGAATGGTTCCACGTTGGGCGCCAATTTTCAAGCTGCTTCCACGCCAAGCGAAGACTACGAGTGACTAAATTAATAAAACGAACAATATTATTGCAATTTATAAAAATAGGTTATGATGAATTAAGCAACCTTTGTACATCCAACAGCATGTCAAGTTATACGAAAGTGACAAAAACTCTAATCGGTTAAAATTAAGTTCAAATCACATAGAGATTATACGTATTGTGGTACTATTGATGTGTATAATAAAATTACTTGTAAACACAAAGTTTGCACGCATTGATTAAATTTATTAGGTAATTCTCTTAGCAGTAGAGCAAAATATTACTCTTCCTCTGGATCACAATATAACGCTGATGCGAATATCTTTATCTGAAAAAAAGGTATTTCATTAAAATATACGCTTAAAAATAAATCACACGTCATACGTCATGTTCATTCTTCAAATCATGAAGAATGTTTGTTACTTCAAATCATGAAGAATGTTTGTTACTGTCCCCACTGCAAGGGCTCAGGCCTTTCCTATGAATGCAATAGAATAACATAGAATAGGGAGAATATAATTACTCTTCAAATAATTAAGAAAATAATAAAATCGGTAAATCAGATTTGAAATCTAGAAAGATAACACCGATATACTCGATTACTGTATAAAATGATTATTAATCGAACTATGGAGGCTAGTACAACCGGTATAAAGCAGTAACCGTTTATCGTGAACTTGAAATGCGGAAAAGACGTGAGAGCGTACACACCAAGCAGTATGGAGGTCAGTGGGGAATCAACCTGTGCGCGTGCGCCGCTGCCCTCCGCTGCCCTTCGTTATTGCGGTCAACCTGGCCATTAAATCAAGGAATAAATTTTCTTACATATCATGAATACTTTAACTATATCTATTATAGAAAACTAAATATAAAAACTTCCTAACAATAAAAGAGTATATCTGAACGTAATAAACTAGGATACTCTATACCAGCATTGTAGTAACTATATTATGACTAGTATCTGAGAGCTTTTTATATCATACATAAATATTATATTTATACAACGTGTCCCAAAATTCAACGATAAGCGGGCGCCAAGAGGTAGACCTGCTCATGTGTACTTATGGAAAAATAAGAAAAAAATTATATATTATTAATCTTTTTTATTATAAAATTAAATTCGAAAATTTTCGAAAGAGTTGTAGCGAATAGTAGTGCTACTTAGGTATCCGATACCAAAAAAATATTGAACATAATTGAGAAGTTGTGGTCGTGGTAGTTGAAAATATCATAAAAGGTGTAAATTTTCGAAGATTTTCGAATTTAATTTTATAATAAAAAAGATAAGATATAATTTTTTTCTTATTTTTCCATAAGTACACATGTGCAAGGGTACCTCTTGGCGCCCGCTTATCGTTGAATTTTGGGACACGTTGTATATGATATAAAAAGCAAACAATTTTTATTTAATATTGACAGTCGACAATATTGTACCCTTAGACTTCTGTAAAATATCCTGAAACCTTATATTCGATAAAAAATATCCTCGAAAAATGCGTTCATAGTTTTTACTTATCTACCTAAAGAAATTCGTTGTTGAAATTAGAAATTGG